AATATTGGTTCGAGAAGACAAAGAAAACTCAAAGGAATTTTGGTTCATCTGTCTTTCGAGGCAAGGACGGTGTACAGCCCCAAGAGACGACCCTCTCAAAAAGGGAAAGATAAGCCTGCTCTAGAAATTAACCCCTTTAGCAGTTCTTGCTCGCCGGAGCACGAATTTCGGTATGATTTCTTTATCGTGCCCTCATAACTAATGCATACTCGGAGTCACCTCAGCGCAGTGTTAGACATCATTTCATCTCAAATCCCCTTTGTCGTTGTTGACTTTAAAACCTGTTTAATTGAAGAAAAACTATGGTGCTGGGTACACTTTCGTGCAAGGGTTTCATTGATTTTATTTTCAATAAAAAGTGCAACTCGTACCTCTCCAGTAATGCAGTACACAAAAACACTTGTTTCGAGAGACTAGTGCAAGCAGGATTTTGATAAATTATTTGCAAATCGATTCTTTTCCGTTACCATGGGTCTGGCCCAAAAATGGAGAAGTGTGTATCCACACGGTGTTTTACTCAGTCCTTTCACGGCGACACAAATGCGCTCTTGCTCCCAAGTAATTGGGTAAAGGTAAAACTGCAAGAAAGGCTGTGACTTTATAGCGCGCCAAACTTCGAGGGGACTTTTTAATTTGTTGTTACATGATGGACATAACAGCCCATCTATCTAGGCCGCAAATTCCGCTTGAATAGTATCTCGAGAGGCTCAAGTCAAAATTCAGGAAAATCGGGCTATTTTCTCATGGAGTGCTCCACATCTGTTGAGAACAGAGGAATTTTCCGGGAATTTTGTCCCTTATTTGCCCCGCGGGTTATCGAGGTCTCCTGCCGGATAAGCATGAGATTGCTCAGTGTAAAGTGTTTGGCGAAAAGTGTTGACGCGTCCTGGACATTACAGCACTGTCGTTAACCTCTTTGTTGGTCATTCAATCTTCCTTCGTGAAAAAGCGTTGAAAAAAAATGATTTCAGACTAATGAATGAAACAAACAAACCTCTAAAGCACTGTTATGTGAACAATGTGACGAGCCAAGTGGTCTGTTGCTGAGCAGATCCGAAAAATCCAACGCCAACTGAAAAGTGCAAACTAAGGTGGTCAGCTGTTCTATATCAGCTTATCAAAACCATTAGGCCCTTATTCGTTTGATGAAAACCGCTTATTGGGCGGTAAAGTAAATAGGGTTTTATGTGTGAAAAGTGGCAGTGCACTCTCTCTTAATGCATTCTTGATAAAGTGCTGACACCTTAATCCCTTTTCAATACTTCCTCGCGGACTTCCCTCCCCCAACACCCCCTCATCTGAGCTTCATCTTATTCAGAACCTCCCTCCATGCTTATCGGACGTACCTTATTCTCCCGAAAAGAACAATGGATCAGTTGAATTGAAGACAGCGTATTGTCTACTAAAGTCGGACATCATAATGGAACAAATAGTTGGGTGAAGAGGATGGGCTGTACTAATAAGGAAATGAAAAGGTAAAAACTTCCGGCAAAGATGTATTTCTTCCTGGAATGCGCCACGCATTCCACCTCCTTTCCAAATCGTACTCCTATTTGGATGGATTTGGATTAAATTTAGAATTTGACCCTCAGACCGTATGCTTGGTAACTGTTCTTGGTACATGGTAGACTAATGCTCGGAATAGTTGTCTACAGAAGGATAGTAAGGCTGAAAACCAGTGGTTCGGTGTGGAGACTAATTCATTCCTATGACATCTTTTCCTAAAATTCATTCTCCAAAAATAGCTCAGCACCTCCGACCTTTACCGACCTTTACCGACCAGACCTTTACCGTAAGCTAGATCCCAATAGGGAACCGCATGCAGAACCACTTCAGCATTTAACAATAAAAAAATAATAGAATAGTTAAATAAAAATAATGATGATTATAATAATGTATCTTTCACGTCAAAAAGGAATAAAATGAATAGAAGTTGAATTCAAATAATGCCCATTTAGGACTTACTTTTTGAAATGCCTGACTTTCAAGCTGGGCTTCTTCCTCAATAATTCGTACACACGATTGTTCACTAGCAGATTCGAAAAAACGTATTGCTGAAACACACAGCAGTTCTCGAAGCATGCCTTTGAATGTCCTTGTGCGATTATTGGATTTCACGTTAACGCTTCTAGGTAATTAACGATGAGAACTTCCTAATTTGAGTATGCAGTCCAAATGCACTGTGGTTTTTTTTCGCAACTTTCTGGACAAAAGGAAAATGAAAATGCACTGAGAAATAAACAGCTTACTGTATGATGTAAGGCAACCGGCAAGCTCATTGGCGGCAGGATTGAAATTTGTCGGCGGTTTTGCACCTGAAAATATGAGCCACTCGAATTCTGGACCAAATTTAATAAACTGTCACACACAACAACATCATCTTATATTGGAATGGGCATAATGCGAAAACAGCTAGGTAAATTCGGAGTGTGACTAGCGATCCCTTTTTTGGGAGTCGGACTGAAATATTGAATTCACTGGCTGTTTGTTGGTGCCGCTATCAACGTGTTTCGAAATTCGCATAGCAATCTTCATGGGAACGATGCCCATCGCTATATATTTGAAAGAATATTTCCGGGTTTTTGTCACCCCCGAAACCATTCTCGCTTTTTTCGAAACCCTATCCCCTAATACGGACTACTTATATGTCATTGAATCGTCGTTCAAACGAATAGGATAGGGCTAATTCGAACCTCCTGTCTTCGCTTTGCACTTTTGTTATTGGGTCAGTTTATGTTTGGCAATTTCCTGAAAATTGCCGCTCGTCTAGGCGGTTTTTATGTGGTGGTCCACTAATGAGACCATTCGTATTCTAGCTGGCCTAATTTAAAAAACGTTCATGTTGAAGTTATATCGATTGGGCGGGACTTACCGCTGGCGTTTACCCGTGGAAACACATAAGCGGTAACGTATTGTGGCCGTTCACGTGCACGATCTTCTTCTTGTACAGGTCCACTGGTACGAATAGGCTGTGCTCGGGTGATGAACACGTTGTGCGCCTGATTTTGCGCCGTTAGAAATTCGACGCATCGAGTGAGATTGCTGCAAAAATTACTGTATTCATTTCTAGAAAAGATATAGATTTTTCCTAGACCAGCAAATCATGTCGTTTTTGATGAGTAGGAGTTTTCTGGAACGAAAGATCGGTCGACTTACCCAGGGCTCAGCGGTTAAAAGCGAAACGCCGCAGTATGGAGATCGAACTTCACTCAGACCATACACAGCTACCCTCCCTACCCCTCCCTTCAGGTGGCTTCTTGGTGCGTAGGCATTTTTGGAAGAATAAAGACCGATGTACCATATAGGCAATGGTTAACCCTTTAACTACCTACTTTACCTATATGATGGCATCTCATATGTACCACCATATAGGTAAAGTAGGCAGTTAAACGGTTAACAATTGCCTATAGGTAGAAACCGTGTGCGGACTAATGATAATAACTCTGTTGTCTTCAATTTTCTGATCAATTGACACTTTTGAGTGAATTGGAATGCTTATGAAATTTCAGACGAATTTTTTTTGATTATTCTAGCCCTCATTAGACGGAGGTAACGGCCCAATACACAAGAACAAGTGCAAGTTATTTTGAGCTTGTTGAATTGTGAGTCTTCTCTACGCTTCAGCAGGAACTTGATTCCTTATTCGAAGCAGCTGGGTTCGAGTCCCGGCTGAGGCTCTGTTTTGTTCTCATCTCAGCAGATATTTACTCAGCTTGAGATATTTCTTGTGTACGCGAAGTACGCTCAAAAATAAAACACTAGCTAACAAAGCGAAACAGATCAGAAGATCTGATCAGATCCCGAAATGGGAGACCCATTCCGCGACCTCTCAATTTTTTGGACGTTTGTTAATGCTTCTATAAACAAATAAATAATAATTAAAATAAATGTTTGCTAATGCTTCTATTAGGTTGTCCGATAACTGGCTGACTGACACTCATAAAGCTTGCGAAAAAAAAACCCGCATGTTGACATCAGTTGAACTAGTCTACAGTTTAAATTGAAGGAATTTGTATGTGATTGCGAAAAAGAGTACAAAAAGTACAAATTCATCCTTTTTACGACCAATGCTCCAGAGCGATGTTACCATTTTCTTTGTTCTCAAACTTTGATGCTGTTCAGTTGCAATTTAGATTGGACTGTACTAGACATTTCTATCCCTTTTCACCTCTCATTATTGCGAATAAGTTCCCAGTACACACCCATACTTGTGAAAATGTGTAGTGGTTGGAAACAGTTGATTTTCTACATAGACGGAGATCGCCCAATGTGAAGATTAATAAGCCGGCATTATCTGACTTCGTTAGCGAATCCGCGCGCTGTGTTAGTCTTTGATTAGATGTGCTGCTTGCTGTCACAGTATTGATGTGTCTGCTCGACTACAACAGAAAAACAAGAGAAGCAAATTAAAGAAGTATTAGCAATGCTAATAGCATCAGGCTTGTCATACGAAACAGGTCTGGTTCATCTATCCATTCAGAAAATCGCTCCAAAAAATTTAAATTTTTATTTTCGCTAATCATCTCCAATCTGGAATACGAAGGTGCAATGGCTCACAGTGACCATCGGTAAATCCTGCCAGCGGCCTTATGCAGCAGTATCGGGCCAGGGATGGGTCTCTCACAACACGCTACACCTAATAACGCATGCTTGACTAAAAATGAATCTTCAACCGAAGTACAAACGCATAGTTTCGAGCCTCGGCCGGGTACCCCCCCCCCATAAGTGGGGGTCCGAAAATCGACTCACAAAAGCTCACTACGTAATTTAGAATGAAAGTGAAACATCCTGGCGCATCCCTAGAAAGGGATTTGATCGAGCGCCGACTGCTTATCCTTTCCATCCTTCACACTCCGTTTGAGGTTAGTTGAGGCGTATAATTTTGTCAAATTTACAGGAACTAGGAGAAGCAATGCTGTTTCAATAAATAAATGAATATTATAAGTATATTGAAGAGCATTAGATCAATCACTGCACTGACTACAACATCTTGAAAAAGAGGGATTTAGGCCTGAATAGAACCATAATAAATTTTAGAGACATATTTCGAATAAGTGGTGAAAAATAAACATAAACAAGAAATAAATAATGCAACCACATCACTTTTCAGGTTCTAACGAAAACAGCTATTCGAATAGC